CCCGGGCAGCGTTGGCCATGGGTGCCTTTGCCCTTCACCCCACTGTCAGAGGGCGGCCAGAACTATGGAGTCCTGGCTTCCTCTCAGCTCCTTCCACTAATTCAAAAATCCCAACAGAAAGCCAGAAGAAGCAAGGAAAAAGGATGGGATTTGTGTACAATAGGGGCTTACTCCAGAGAACTGTAGTTGTACCTAAGTTATTTTTTGTGGGCTGGGAAGGATTAGGTACTCTTGACAAATATCGGAGCAGAACTACCAAAACAAGCATCCGTTTTGGATCGTATTCAAGAGAGAAAAGAGCTAAAGGAGGCAAGTGGATTTTTCATTTGCCCTAAACATGTTCTAAAGAGAAAGAAATAATATTTGTTTTGTCTTCTGCTTGTCTTCTGTACAGCCATTGAAAGCAACAAGGAGTCTTTCTTTAAAATTGCCTTGGACTGGGCTGAAATCTCTGAGACATGTAGGACTTCAACCACACACTGGGTCAGGATGATTATGAACAGTAATACGCTTTACAGGAATCACATTTGCACCATGACAAACAGAGTCCTCTGGTATCAGATAGTTTTTTCCAAAGGTTTGGAGAAATAGTTTCTGACATCCCACAGAGAGTGGCCAAACTTTCTGATCAGATAAAATATGACATCTTCTTCCCTAAACATAAGCAGTCGGGTTTCACCGTTGGCTCACACACTATAGGACAGAGCTAACGCCAGAAGGGTGGTCCCACTAGCAGCCATGCTCCTGGCAATTTAAGTCCTGGCTGAAAATTACATTACCCTTAAATTCATGCAGGGTTAATTTTCAGCTTGATCCGAGAACTTTGTGATTGCCAGAGTCAACACAAAGAAAGAGGTGGCATCCTGCAGACAGGTCAGGGAGAGAGAAGAAAATTGCCCTTTTCCCTAACAGTTAAGTCAAAGATTAGCTTACAGCAATCGTGAAACTACAGGTTGAGGCACAACACAGACAAACTTATGGTCCGAAAGTCCACATCCCTCTCAACACACAGCATGGAGGTGCCAGCAGAACCATCGTCAGGGTGTAATTTGAAGGAGACGATCAGGCTTATATCTTAAAAATCGGGAAGGCTCTGAGGATGGCCTCATAGCGCAAAAACGGGGCAATAGAGAATCTGCCCTACACCTCTATAAACTTTAGAAAAATAAAATTATGTACAAAGTGAATAGCCGTAAGATTCTTTTGCCATATTTTCAGCATATCACATTCATTCTCTTTTTCTGTATCAGTGAGAAAGAAGCAACCACCTCAAGCACTTCTAGAGCTATACAGAGCGATCCTCTTATAGATAAGATCATTCCTAGGAGAGAAGGAATGCTGATCTGTGCATTAGAGGCTGAATAGAGATGACAACCATATGTCACTTGGCAGAAGTCGGGCGTTTGTTTGTTGCTTTTTCAGTATCCCAAATGTAATGAATTATAAAATAGAGCCTAAATTAATAGTCAAGGAGGACTTTATCAGGTCCCCACACTTAGGAGATGCTCATCTGGGAGAATCCCTTTCAACTCATAGACTGTTTGACTTGATCAAAGGTTCTTGCTTTTCAATAGACTTCTATATAATACTTAGACTCAAGAGCTTCACGAAACAAGAGCCACGCTGCCTCCCAGAGAAAATTTGAATCCCAGTGAGATGTCACTCTCATCTTGAAGGCAGAAGGTCCAACTGTTTGGAAAGCAGGAACTTTTGAATATTAATACACTCATACAATAATGAATGATAGGACTGCCAGTCTGTACTCTTTAGCAACTTGGTACCATCTAGATTGATATTTGAAAGGTCTTTAACTGCAACAGAATGTACATATTTGATGCTTAATGACATTAGAACAATTAGACAAGTCCATTATCTCTGCTGGGGACAGAAGGGTTTAAATGGTGCTAACCCAACTTCTGGAGAAAGGGTAAGACAGTGCCACAGACAAAGCTTTTATACTTTTGAGTGAGCGCTATACTCAAGAAGTCCAGCATTCGCTGACTATATGAGACACTGGATTCATCCAAAGAGTGTGCTGAATTTCATGAATAAGAAATCTTCCTAATTATCTGCTTGGTAAAAAACTTTTCTTTGACAGACTGAGTCCTGCATTCCCATAAGGCTGGCTAAATAAGACTTACCGTGTGCATACAGCTGAACGTCACGAAAGGAGGAAAATATCATAGGTCAGAGAGATAACTCTCACTTTCAGTATCTTTACATAAAACCACATTTCCCATGGCAAACTAAAAGCAGGGAGTAGGTACAAATCAACACAAAGAAACAATTCCACCTTAAAGATCTTCTACTACTAACTGCTCAAACTTGAAAGGCTATATAAGCATACCATCCCTATCTTACAAACCAAAGAAACTTGAAACTGGAACCTTGTGCTTTAGGTTTTCTTCAAATCAAGAAAGGTGTTAGAGATGTGATGAGTTTTGCAAAGTTCCTGAATGGAGATTAGCATTAAGCAACCATAAAAATACATAGGTAAATCAACTTCTCCAAGTCTGGGGTATGCAAAGTCTTCAGAGAAGACTGCTATCTTTTCTGTGGATAAAGTGATGCTCTCACCTTTGGCAAATTATTACAGAAGAACCATTTGGAAATTCTACTGAGCCAAGCTTAGTTAAAGGCTTAGGTATGTTTACACCAAGCACTGCAGTGCCACATAGGTGCCTGAGGTAGTTGTGAATGACTTGGGTATCTACACAGCACAGTGTCAAGCGGAGATATTAGCTCACATCCCAGAAGGAATACAGCCACATTAGCGTGGCTTTGTGCCCGGGCTAATTAGGTGATGTTTCCCCAGTTGCCAGAAATCAAAGAGTGAATCATACATCTGCCAGCATCCAACCTTCATTTGAAAGCACAGACTGGAACTATTTTGAACCTCTGTTATGGAGAAAGCAAGGTGAATATAAAGACATAATGTCATAATTTTACTTTGTTTTAAAGCCAGAAGGAATCATAAATTCATCTGATCTGACCTGTTTATCACAACTACTACACTTCATCCACATGCCATTGTGTCCAGCATATGAACCTCAGCCAGCCTAAAGCACTGAAGTCCTTTAGAGACTGACCTATTGTACGTGTGCCACAGGCAGAGCCCAACCATACGCTGTCAAAGCCAAGACTACAGCCATGGCAGATGTAGTAGCCCACATTATTTCAGCAGAAATCCATTCCTCATACTGCTCTGGAAGGTGAAGAATCCTATAGTCCTGGCCATTAGTTCCCCAGCTCTGGCAATCAGGATGAATCCCAACATGTGAGCAAGACACATGAACCGATTATTTAGAAATAGGATTCTCTGCTATATCAAAACAACCAGCCCGTTACAAAGAAGCCAGCCTCTGGTGATGGCCGATCTCTGACAAGTCAAAGGAAAAAGAACAAAAAAAGACCTAAAACTAACCACTGGTGGGATAGGGAGAAAGCCTCCTTCCTGACCCCTAGGAGCAAACCACGATGGCCCTGAAGCATGATTTGAAGATGGTCATTGTCTTAATGCAGAGCTGCAAGTATTTCAAGGATGGTGCAGACAAGTTTCTCTGAACACAACTATAAAGGAAGGAGTTGAAAAGGGAGGCTCATAAATCATAAGTATAGGCCACCACACTTGACACACAGACATAGAATTTCTGCTCAAGACTTGAATCAAGCGCCTCTTTTGAAATGATAAATTATCTCATCTTAAAGACTTGAAAGGATGGTGATGGAAAAAGACTCCAACGTTTAATTACATTGAGAGCTGTGAAACTATTTTATTCCAGGGTGGAACTTTTCAAACTTCAGCTTCCAGCTACTGGAACTTGTTATGGCTTACCAGTGGTTGGGTTGTCAACCTCACTATAAGGTATCTGCTCCTTACATAAGCACCTGTAAAGATTACTTGATCGTAGTGTTATGTCTCTTCAACTAGTTGAACGTGTTTATTCACAGCACCAAGCCAGTTTTCTAGGCTCTATATCCTTTTTCTGTCCCTCCCCAGCAATATCTCTGTGTAATTCCTGGTATGTCAACACACAAACTACACAAAATGTTCTGAGATTTTACTGACTCTGCATACAGAAAATAACTGTCATACTCCTGACTAAGGCTTCCCTTTTCATATAGGTAGGAGTTGCAATAGCCATTTTTGTCTTTGCATCGTACTCTGGGCTCACCGGAAGACACTTATCCACAATAGCCCCTGGATCCTTCTCAGAGTTACTGTTTCCCAGGATGGTATCACATTGTGAAGGTATCATCATCTGCATTTTTTGTTCCCAGATGTAGTAACAAGTGGCATAATTATGATAGCTGTTAAAATATTGAAATGAGTTACTGTGTGTAGTATTTCTGGGAAATGGTAGAAAGGATGATGTTTATTGAAACTATATAAACACGTAAAATGTTTTCTCAACACAGTTTCCCATTTATGTTTGCACAGATGTGTGTAATGTCATCACGAAGCCTCTTCCAAGAAAGATAAATTAAATCAAAAGGCAAATAGCTAGAATGCTCTGCTGCTGCCTCTACACACCATCTCTTACCTCTTTTTGTTCCCTTTTTCTAATCATAAAAGATATTCACTGCCATTGAAAAACATAAAAAACAAGCAAAAATTTTTATGAAGGATAAAGGTCCTCAGCACAAATAAAACGACCAGCTCTAAAGCTGCGAAGAAATATGCTTTAATTTAAGAGACAAAAGGTAGCATTACAGAAGAAATTGTCATAATCAAAGTTGAAAAAAAAAAAATTCTATTGTCTACTGTGCCTCTCTGTGGGAATTTTCCCAGCACAGACAGCTGTAAAGGAGGAGGGGTATTGTGAGTTTCTGTACTCTCATTCTCTCTCTTCCTCTCTTTCTCTGTCAATAAATGTCTGCAATAATATTCTTGAGCTCCAGTGTGATTTCAAGGTTCATCTCTTCCATGCAGCTCAAACACTAATTATCCCAGCTGTAATTAGTAAGATAATTAAATACTGGCTCACTCATCACTCTACCTTGTGTCGGGTCGTGATTCTCCCAGAAGACCTTGAGCAGTTTCTCAAAGCTGATGTTTTCTGGCTGATATACTACTCGTACAGTCTCTGTGTGGCCAGTTTTACCTTAAAAGACAAAATAAATTCAGATGTTATTAGTGAGAATTAACTAGTGCATATCTAGTTTTTTATATCTGAGCTTCAAAGCACAATCCATTGTTTTCCTTTTTTTCTTTTCCTAAAGGTGTTTTGATTTACCATCATTTATACTTAAGCCTTTTTACACAATATTTTATATACATGCCAACTCTAAGATGTCTGCTACTTTGGACAAGGCTATTATGAAATAAACTATCCAGAGAGGCAATAAGGTAAGACAGTGATATTATTACAGTAGTTTGTCAGCTTACAAGAAAAAAAATTAATAGTTCTTAAATATTTGTAACTGACAACTAGTAAAATATTTTAAAATATTCTAAATACAACATTAAAATATGAAAACTTATATGTCTAAGTTGTCTTGACAGTATGTAACTTCGTTTCCGTGAGATAAGATATGGATAAAATAATTGATTATGAAAACAAATTTCAAGGGCATGTTTACACAAGATCACACAAATAATTTCAAACTATTTCACATCATCCAAATCACTGCTGCCAACGGGCTTCAAAAAGAGTCAAAGAGAGCCTGACTGAACTTCATGACAGCAGATGAAGTTCAAAGAAGATTAGCAGGTGTTACGGCACATTAAAACATATTATTCCTATTTTTCAGTTACATTATGAGCATGATTTTTTTCATTCCTTATGTGTCTAATCACTCACTATATTATTGAAAGATCCAGCTTCACAAAATGTGAACAATCTGGCCACGTAATTCACTTCAATTGTAACTAATAGATTGATGAGTGCTCAGACATCTCAGGGTGAAAGTCCATTGCACTGAGTGCTATGCAAGCATTTTATATTTTATAAATATTATATATTTATAAATGTAGGCATATTTGTTGTCATAATATATGCATGAACGGGGAAAAAACTTATCCTATTCTTCAGTTAAATCATAATAAGTAAATACTAAACAAGACTAAACTGGACAGCCAGATCTGCCTTTTGGCGAGGACATAATAAGCTCCTTGATCACACTAGGACAGGTTTTTGTTTCATTTATACCAGCATAAACTTCAGATTTACTCAACTGACTTCAACAGAATTGTTGAATTTCATGCAATGCAACAACCAGCTGAATCTGGCCCAGTGATGGGTTCTGAATTAGCTGTCACCAAACAAGAAAAATCAGAGTCTATGAGTAACTGAGGAGTGTTCAGCAGAAACACCAATTCAGTACCAAGAGAAACTTTAATTAAAAAACAAAGTAGAAAGAAATAAAAAGGATGCTAGGATATTTAAAAGAGACATAACAGGGAAACGTATGACAGCATTATATCAGTTAATGGGGCACCTGAAATGAAGAAAACCTAAACGAGGCACAGAGAGGTGGGCTAGCTATTAAGAGGGATTTAAAAGACTGGGATTAAATTTAGTCTAGAATGCAGAGGAGTAAAAGGGGACACATCTGGGATATCTGTAATGGAAATTCTGATAAAATCAAATTGGTTCCTATTTAGTGTGCTTCACAATACAACAAAGATACGCTCAGTGAGATTAAAAGACAAAAATGTGCAAGTTTTATGTAACCTGCAGCTAAAGCCATGTCATCCTGTCCACCAGGATACTGTCCAGGCAAATGATGGCCCAATTCCTCTTTCACGTGCACTACGCCTATTGAAGTCCATAGAAGCAACTCATTATCTGAAGTCAAATTCTGATGGTAGGTTAGCAGAAAGGGATCATACATTTAGTAGAATAAAAATACAAGTCACAGATAATTGGCTTAATAATAAAGTGAAAAGGTCTTTCTATATTATGGCATGAACTGATGGCCATCTTAGGTCAGGGATAGAATTTATTCCAAATTTCACGGTTTAATATAGACTATCAGTGAAAATAATGGTTTTTGCCTTAGCTGAAGCCCAGGTCGGGAATTTTATTGTTGCTTGAGATAAAGGAGAACAAATGGACAGTGGTTTGTCCAGGTCTCGCAAGCCTACATCGTATAACTAAAAAGAGATTAAGGAGTGGCTTCTGACTTTAATTCTTTTATTTTTAAGACAATGTGAACCTTATGAAAAGTTCTTATCACTCAGAAGCAAATTGCTTGTCTAAGATGACTAGGTTTAGATCACAAGAGAGCTTCTTAAAGAACTTCAAAACAACAGAGGCATTACCTTTCCTCTCAAATGAAGCAGCAATTACATCTTGTCAACACTGTCTACTCTGACTAATCCAGAAGTTCAAAGAATCAGCTTTCTTCTTTTCCTCTGAATACGGAAGTAATGGTGCTACTCTGAGAACTATAGCCTGACCTTGAGGAAAAAATCCTCAGATGCGTGGCTAACAGAGTGTTAGAACCTAGAGCATATTTAAAATCAATATTTATCCTCCCAGGAAAAGCAAGGAGGTAATGCTGCTGGTCCTATCAGATTCACCTCTAATTTTCCTCAAAGCTTTTCTACAGTCTAGTGGATTTTCTTTCAGAATAAGGTATGGTTATTTCTACTAAGAACAATCTTAGTCATTTGTGGCGAGCACTCCTACTTCCCAACAATTTTAGTGGAAACTCTACCAATCACCTGGGTACACATGAGCAAACAGACAGGTAAAAGGCTCCATGTGGGACAGATTAACCACAAGATTTCCTAGAAGAAGCACAGAGAGAAAATGGTACCAAGGGACAGGAAAAGAAAAAGAGCAATCTCTCCGCAGGTGCAACATGCCCCACGAGAAGGAATCAAAAGATAGCACGAGGTTACCCTAGGTAGCGTGTAGAAACTACCAGCTCATCGGTGCTGAACGTGACTCAGCTGCAGCCCAAGTGGCAAAAGGAAACTTAAAGTGGGTTCTCCCTGTGATCTTATTTCACTTTTTGTGTTAGGCTTAAGTTCGACTATGAAAACAGAATAACCACATTTCAGTTTGGGTTTCACACATTTGGTACAGTACAGTGCCAAAAGAACAGAGCAGGCATCAAACCAGCTAACCACTCCTCTGTATTGTAAAAAAAAATCATTGAAATATTTCTAATCAAATCTTTTTTGTAAGATTTCTTAAAATGGAGAGGCAGGAATCAAAGAGAAACAATAAACCTACTTTTCTCAAAAAAGCTGCATGTCTCTTAACGAGAAATTTAACAGGCTAACACTGAACAGCTGAAATGATTTAAAATGATCAGCAAGAGATGCTATCCTTTCAGTGATATTCAGCTCTTCACCTTAGTGCCTCTTTCAGAATTTCTCATGAAAGGTTCATTTATATTAAGTCAGAGAGTCATGGTATCCTCAGTTCACCTATTGCTTTTAATTAGCTGATTTTTAATATTCCACAGCAAAAGCATGCTTCACTTTAAGTTCCAAAAGTTTTAACAAGTATGAACGTTTCTAGAAGCCTTCTCCCAAAAAAGAGCTCAAAGTTTGAACCATGTTTTTTAAATAATTTATTGAATCACTAAATATAATTTCATTTGCTGTTAACTGCGCAAATAGAAATCCTTTATTTATAGGTGCGATTATCATATTTCCAGTTATGGTGCTCAGTTCTCCTTCAGCGTTAGAAAGAGCTTAGCCATTGAAGAACCTCGCTGCAGACGATAAGACTTTATTACACCATGGCAGAGAGGGCTGTGTGCCAACAACAGATTGTCTGTTTATCCTATATCCATTTCCCACTTAGAAAACATAGCCACTCTCAGAGGATTAGCTACAGTGAGCTCTTTCAGTGGGGATTCAAACTCTGGCAAAAACGTTCCTGTAAAAAGCAATAGAAAAAGACATCTGAGTGACACCTCAGTGCTCCTTTTCAATTTTTTGCTTCCTAATAGTGTTTAGATTTTCACCTTCTTAATCATCTCCCAGGTGAGTGCCCAAGCCGACGGATTATAGAAGCGAACTCCTTCTTTTTAACTTGCCGTATCCAGTAAGCATTTAATTATTTCCGTCAAAGTGCAACAACTTCAAAGGGCGGGCGTGAGAGCACCTCACCTGTGAATACCCGGCCACCCAGCAGCTTCGGCGCTGCTACATGACACGTGGGCTTCATCTCCGGGTAGTCCAGCCCTGGGTGAATTAAGTTATAAAATTGAAGCAACGCCAAAATGGTTCCCTCCTGCCCCACTTCTTCAATAAAAAGGGACTTGCCTCTCTTTACCCACTGAAATAAAGGGCCTAAATTCAGTAAATGACTAAATATAATTTAAAGAAATAGGTGGCAGATCTTCAGCTGATGCACATTTCAGAGCTTATTGATTTTGGAGCTAAAACAATTTGCACTGGCTAAAGCCTAGGCCCTAGTGAATATGCAAAGTATTACATGAAAAAGTAGTAGGTCTTTTGAGCATCTGTTTCTCCAAACTAGCCTGGGAATTTTTATTATGTTGTAGTTACGGCTAATAAAATTTCCAGCTTCTTCCTAAAATAGCAACGAGTTAAATAAACAAACAACGGCTTCATCACTAACACACTGAGAACCCAAACTTTGGGGATCTACTTAACTTTCACTTTTTTACATTTAAAGTAACGATGACGTAAAGAATGGAAATAATCACAGACTGATAGACTTTTAAGAAGGGTCATTATGATAATTTTATTTGACTTCCTGCCTAACACAGACGAGAGATTTCACTGGAGCAGGCCCATATTTCATACTTAGAAAAGTAACAGCTCTTGACCCAAAGAACCCAACGGACAGAAAATCCACCAGAAGTCAAGGTAACTACATCGAGAGGTTAATACCTCTCACCTTTGAAACAAGCAAAGAAGAAAAACAAAGACAACAGACATTTTATTTGTTACCTGAGTTTATTTATTTAAAGGTCTTTCTGCACAGACAAAGACTACTAGGAAGTCATCCCTTACCTCTTCTTTCTGAATATTTAAGTGAATTGATCTTTCTAATTAATCTTTTGGACACTTTTATAACTTCTTGAGAAGAATAAGAATGTAATAAGAATGTACTAGTTCAGACCTCCAGCCCTTCTTTGGCCACGGCCATAAGCAGATAGCCAGGGAAGG